AATTATTAACAAACCCCCCCCCCCCCCCCCCCCCCCCCCCCCCCCCCCCCCCCCCCCCCCCCCCCTCCCCCCCCCCCCCCCCACTCAACAGATGAGGGCAATATCGTCCGCATACTCCAAGTCAAGAATTCGTTCTGCTGGGAGTAGCTCCACAGCTTCTAAGTCGTGTCCTGTAAAAGCAATCTCCATGACTTCGTCAATAGCGAAGTTCAAGAGAAAAGGGGACAACGGGCATCCTTACCTAACACCGCTGGAGATATTGAAGGGCAGCGACAGCTTGCCGTAAGCCCTCACTCTGCCAGTGCTACGCGCGTATAATGCACGGATACTATGCACATATTTCTTGGGTACACATTTCCTGACTAGACAGTCCTAAAGGGTACATCGATCAACCGAATCGAAGGTACCTTTGATGTCGAGGAACATAACAACGGTGGGCCGCAAATGCATGTGGCGGTGATCCAACAATCAACGCAAAGTGAAGACGTGGCCGAGGTAGCCAAGACCCGGACGAAACCCAACTTGCTCCTCACGAATCCGGCTTTTACCTGCGCCAGCCAGTGTGTGAAGGATGACAGATGCAAGTAGTTTGAAGGCGATTCAAAGCTGAATTTAGGGAGCACGCTGTGTGGTTGGGTTGCGACTCGCAACCTCTATTGAGACCTCGGCTCATTTTGAGGTAAACCTCGGTCATTCCGATCTCGAGGACCGTATCCTGAATGGATATATTTGGGTGTTGCTCTTCCCAACCCTTGAAGGCGATGGGGATCAGACTGATTCCTCTATGGTTTCCGCATTCCGAAGGCGAGCCTCATTTGAAGATCTGGAGAATAACGGGGCGGCTAAGGTCGGTTGGGACAGTTTCTTGTCCCCACAGTTTCACTAGTAATTCACTTAAATCAACAACAAGAGAGGTCCACCAAATGGGAAGAGGGCCGGATGAATATCATCTGGTCAAATGGTTTTATTTAACTTCAACAGTCCGATCTAACGTTTGACTTCTGAGTGAGAGGACGGATACAAAGGGACAGCCCAGGGAGCGGGGCGATCACTGGCCGGTGAGGAATCGAACAATTCTAGCCGATAAAATTGCTTTTCAAAATGCTCAGCCCAACGCTCCAAACGCTTTCACAAATTGTGGATAGGCTGTCCACTTCCGTTATAAAAAGTTTCAAGAACACCAGGTCAGCTGCTGCCCGTTTCACGTATCAGAAGGAATAACGTTCGATGGTTACCAAGAGCAGCGACCACTTCCATCTGTGACGCACGATGAGACCACCAAGATTCGCGGTCTCTCTTCAGACTAGCACGGAATTTTGCCCCCAGGTCTTTGCGAGTCTCGTTGTGTTCGCTTCCAGCCAGAATGTCCCAAGGACTGTGAATTGACCCAATGTCCACGTTGGCTATTAGACTTACCACATGTGGATTTGCCTGCTGCTAGTAAGGACTGGTGAACATGCGCTTACTCAACTGGCATGTCAGCATACTTCGATACGCATTCAGAACAGCTGGTTTCGCCAGTGGACCGGTGTCAATGCGCTCACAGCGTCGTCGTGAGCGTCCGCCAAAACGCATCCGCATGTCAGCACATACAAGTGCATGGTCGGTGTCCACACATGTGCTCCAAACCGAGCGACAGTTCTGGACTCAGCTTCTCCATCGATAACTGATCGCGATGTGACCGATTTGTGTCCAAGGCTGGTGGGGGCCATGTCACCCTCCGGACGGCGCTGTGTCGGAAGTAAATGCTCGAAGGAAATAAGCGGGCATCCTCACACAACTGAAATAACCGCTCATCGTTATCATTACGGGAGCTTACACCGTGTTGACCGCCAAGATGCAGTTCATGAATGGACAACTTTCTAACTTATGCGTTCAGATCCCCCGCCAGCACAGCAGTGTCCGTGCTTCTTCTGTGGCGAAGGAGCTGGGTCAGTTGGCGGTAAAGTCGTTCTTTACCAAATCATTGCTACAGTTTGTGGGTGCATAGGCAGCGATGATGAATAAACACCTATTAGTCCCGCGCGACAGCCAATCGGACCGCACACATGCGGCTACTGATTGGGTTCCAATCAACCAGAGCAGATTCAGCCCGGGGACTCAGGGCAATACCAACACCGGCTTGGCCGGTGCTCGAAGCTGCATCGTCACCGGATAGGCGCAATAAGGAAGTGTTGCTGGTGTCACCTGAAGGGGATCGCAAAGTGAACACAGGGCTTCAGTCTTGCAGGCGGGTATCCGATAAGCAGTAGATATCGATCGAGAGGGTCTCCAATGTTCGGGCAAGTGCTGCCTGTTGACCGATCTGTAGCAATGTGCATACATTGAGGCATGCCAATCTGAAGGAGGATCGAGGCCTCCAAATGGAAGCCGATGAAATGGGGTGGACCGCTTGGTTGGACATGGGCTTGTCCACTGGAAAGGACTGACACTCCGCGTTTGCATGTGACTTGAAACTAGAAGATAAACGTCTAGCAAAGCATGTTGGGAGAAGGCCAAGAAGCGGGGTTGAAAACTGGGGGATAAAAGTGAAGTTGGAACGGGACGATGAGGGTGACAAAGGGTAAGAAGGTGAATAAGAAGACGGGAAGGCTTGAGCAGTAGCATCCAGACCCCTATCCACCCTGCTCCATGCAGCAGATAGGGCACCGTTGATTATCCTCTGCGGTGGCCAGAGCATCAGAAATTGGTTTGAAGTGAGATTCATTGTATTGCGTGGGCAGGATACTGTCAGGCTGCCCAGGCCTAGACAGGAGAACGATTAGGGTTCTCAACCAAAGCCTTTGGTTCAAAAACCTGGCCGCAAGGCAGCGGGTTTGGCACTGGACTACAAGGAGTTCGTTTTAAGGAATAAGGTGCCACCCTCATTCCAAGCCCCAATCTGGAGGATCAGGAGGCTGAGTTTGTCTGGCCTCTAACCATTGACCTATCTGAAATGAGTGGCTCTGAATATGCAATAAAAGCACCACCAGGATCTCTGAAGCACGCAAACCATCGCACAACGGTAAGGTTCAGCCTCACTGTGATAGAATCGCACGGGCAGTTATCATCCGCCAACGTTCCCGGTTAATTTGAAGGCTTCTTATCAGTAGTCGTTTTAGCATTGAATGGGCACGCTAAAACTCACCGCCCATCCGCATCTGTTTCCGTGCTTCAACCAAACTGATCGCAACTTCAGAGATCCACTCAGTTCAGCATGCATCAAAACCACTCTTCATGGCACACTCGAGACAATCCCAGTCAGTGTTCGACTCACCAATCTCATTCACTATTGACAACCAATCGGTCAGTTCCCCATAATATTGTTAAACTGCGAACTGCAAGTTACCACAAGGAAAGTTAGAAGATAGACACTTATTTGAAGCATGCGCACATTAGAGCCTAGTCGGAATCCAGGCACGTACTCAAGATTGACCGACATTCTTGGACTGAGGTGCGCCATCTGTAGCTGATGGCAAACTGGTCAATTGGGGTCCAGATCATGGAGGAATACGGCGGACACAAAGTAACACATGTGAAGATTTTTGATGGATGACAGGGCTGCTAACATAAAGATCGTGGGCGGAAAATAGTTGCAGGAATCGCTTGCCATTGTTCGGTGTGCACCGACTTCGAACTAGCCTCTCATATTTTGTTCACAGCCAGAAAGGCGACCCACTTGGGCATCCATGTCACCAACAACAAGTAAAGTATCAGTAGTACTTACCATACGAATAAGAGGAAAGCTGAGGATAGAAACCGTCTTTCACACCCTTCGAACTGCAGTCAGTGAGCGTATAAACCCACTTGTCCTCCGACGGTTCCTACTAACCTCAACAAAGGTTCGAACAGCACAAATGCGATTGTCCACAGTATCCGGTCGAGTAGACTGATTTCAGCAAATTTGCTGATGGCGATACGGACGCCATAAATACTTTGAGCCACTGACTCAGTATCGCCAGAGATGCAAGAAGTGTACTCACTATGGGCAGATTCGGAACCAGGGAGTCAAGGATTCATCCCGATACGGTTATATTGTATGTGAGTTTCGTAGACACAGTGCACATAAAAACCTAGAGCACGACCGTTAAACGAAGCAAGATGAAATGGGGGCCTTGGTTTCAGGGAAGGGTTACATGTATCAATAGCATCAGTCGCGAAGTCAGCAGCAGTCTCGTGTTCAAACCGGGAACATGGAATCGCAAGGAGGCAGAAAGATATGAATTTTGTCACAGCAACGTTGAAAGATTTAGAATTATTCGCATGTATTCTTCAACTGTAGTATGTTGCGCGCCCCATGCTGACGCTGATATTGCATTCTTGATGCTTCTTCACCGCAGTTGGGCTAAACCAAGTTACACTTATACTAAGTCTCTTTCTAAGTTGGATAAATTTCATTCCCCTTTATTTGGTTTGTTCTATTAACTGGCCACTTTGCTTACGCTAATTGCGCTTATCTTCGGTAATTTTGTTGCGTTTGTAGCATGTTTAAGTAACTTGTGGACATTTCTTACTTGTCGCGGGTTCGTTGCTAACCAACTTACTTCATATGCTAATTTAGCGAAGAGTTATGCCACCGTATCTGTATGCACTATTGGATTTGTTTTATTTCAGCTTGTCGTTTAAAGCGAACGGCTGTTGCTTGGTATCGCCGGTGTGGCTTCGCTTGATGTGCATGTTGACAAGGTGCTTACCTGTCTATCACCCAATACCTCGTTCATACTGGTTCCAGGAGACAGCTGGTCGTTGCTGGAGCGGACAGGGTGCACGGTCCTTGTGACCCTGCTAGGCTCGAAGAGTGGTTCCATGCACTCAGTGTGGAGCGGACTACGGTCCAGCCACCGCCTCGTGTGCGCTTGATTCCCCAAATACAGCGTGCTTGTGTTTGCCTGTGAAGGAGTGTGGGCCGGCTCCGTTGATGAAACGTGGCTCCCATCCGCATATCTCCCGGTCTTGTTCCTTCGGGCTTACACTAGGAATGGGGTATGTGTGGGTGGAGCTGTGGGTGGTGCAGCGCAAGCCACCCATGGTCCCTTTGTAGGCGCAGGCGTCCTGTGGCTTGCCACAGTGACAGGCAAATCCGAAACCGGATGCCGCCAACCATGTTACGCGCCTGCGACCACGGGTAACTACAGGTGAGAGCTGGCGGGTTTGAGCCCAATCGAACACCGGGCGATACTCTCCGATCCAATGCGTTGTATGGTGCCCTACGTCAAGCGAACTGTGAGCATACAACCCGTAAATTTGTTTCACATGGCTAGAATTTAATGGGAGAGAGTCATCGAATACCTCAAGACATCTGAAGAGGATTGCGAGACCGAGTTGCTGTGACTCCCGTAGTAGAACGAAGTGATCAGAGATAGACCGACGAGTAAAAATGACCTAGAAATATAGGCTTTACTCGCCTGCGGATAAAGACAGGAGAAGTGTAGTGGCAACGATAAATACGCAGTGAGGAATAATATCACATTCTACCCGGCTGATGTTTGGAAGAAATTAAGTAGCAGAACAAGCTCGACTTAAGGCGAAAGCGGGATTTTCGGAGAGTGTTACTGAAGATCTAACATGTGGGTGGTAGCGTTTGATGTAAGAGAAAAGAGCTCGCGTCTTCCCCTCTCTGTTTCTAACGCAATGTGGACGCATGCGTTGTCAAAGTGCCTGAAGTTCGCTATTTGGGAACAACGTCGCCGTAAATTTTGGTTAAGAATGGTCCAGAAGTATGTCGTTCTCCTCGCGTAAGCTGGCCTGTCTATCATCTCAGCGTGCGATCATTTCCCCTGGACCGACGTTAATGCTATCGTCATCCCCAAACAAGTGTTCGCCCATGAGTGCTAGTGGCCAGATTGGTAAGGTCTCACTCGTTTGAAAACCGAACATGTGTGTACTGAGGATTACACTAAATGAGTACCACCTGCTCAACAAAAGGATGGGATTTGGAGAACCGGACGTTCTCCTTCAACAGGGCCAAACCCGGTGATGACAGCCAGGTATGAATAGGAAAGCCAGACCATGACCTCCGAGTGTGTTTGTAGAACCTATCGTGAGGGATCACACTAGTTGCAGTGCATAGAACCGACAGAAGCGAGTGCAATGTAGCGAGTAAGATGATCTACCATTGCCCAAATGGGAGACTACGGAAGCGCACAGCGAGAGAAATAGCTATCCACAGTATTCCATTCAGGCACTCGACTTGCCCATTAGCTTGTGGACCATATGTGGTTGTTCGGTTTGTTTCCAATTCATTCGTTGCGGTTCACGCGACATAAAAGTGGAACCTTTGTCTAAATGACTGTGGGTTGATATGCCAAACATCGGAAAGAGCTGACAGAAACAGCTTATCACGGCAGATGAGGTCAAATCGGAGCACGCAAAAGCGAATGGAGAACGAGAAAACTCGCCCTCATGGCTGGCTTGCCGAATAACCTTTCCGTGGTTCCAGCTGGGTGGTTCGGATCAACCTCGTTCCAGCAAACAGTTCGGTGGTAGTGTTTCAGGACGTGGTGGGTTTCCGCCTGACAAGCGTTCGCCCTATAGAAAGTCACAAATGTCCATATAACAACACTGCGACGTGACGGATGTGACTCGACACTAAATAAAGTCGTCGCTTCTTGCTCACCAAGATGATCCTACCCCCTTCGCGGACGTCACTCATCCACTCCGAAGGGTTCGTGTAACCCTTTCTTGCATTGACTACCAGATCAAACACAATCACATACACAGCGTTACATTAACAAATTCATTCAACATTGTCACATACACACATACCTAGATATGCCCACACTCTCATGAATTCAGTCTGCAACCGGTTAACTTGTAACATCTGTGTACAGTTACCGGTCTTTTCTTGCAGTACAATGATTATGCCTATGTAGGTGTGCCTCGTACTGTCAAAGAAAAAAATTATTTAGTTAGTTAGTTACTATATTGCGATTTCAAAATTTCGAGGAGACGGGCCACTAAAATCAACACTTAGGAAGCCAAAGGCATTGATTACTTTCATCAACCGGTCCAAGGACGGTTGAAGAAGCCTCAATTTGAACTCACAACAAATGGCGCAACGCGAAATCACGGATTTGACTTCGGTCAAAAAATACGGCAAGTTTGTGGCGCGGAAAAAACACATCATGCGAGTTATGCTCGAGTGACATGGAAAAAGCATTCGACCGCGTACCCCATGCAGAACTTCTAACAAAGTTAACCTCTTATGGGTTTGCTAACCCATTACTAGGATGGCTGTCATTTTTCTTGTCTACTCGCACCCAATGTGCCGGAGTGGGAAACTGCGTATCTTCACCTATACCACTAACCAGTGGCATCATACGGAGAAGCGTTTTAGGCCCACCGCTATTCCTACTGTACATAAATGACATGTTCCGAATCTTTCGACATGGCAGACCCTTTCTTTTCGCGGATGATACCAATGTTGTGTTCGCTTTTAATAGCATAAATGAACCAAACGGTGCTCAAACAATACAGTTGGAGCTCTTCACTATTCAGCGGTGGTGCCGAGAGTGGAAAATGACATTCTCTGTTGGCAAATGTAAAGCCCTATTCTTTAGATGCAAACTTATTAACGACGCACTGACGCTAGATGACAAATCAAGTACCTGCTGCACAACGATTCGTGACCTCGAAGTTCGCTACTCAAGCTCTTTCAATTTCTCCGAACAGGTACATCATGTCACCGCCAAAGCGAGATTTATCATAGCACGTATTTTCAATACGTTACGCTTGAAAAACTCTACGCTAGCTATGTATAAAACATTGTAACCCAGTATGTTAAATTTTTAAACTACGTTCGTTTTAACTAGGTCCCAACACTCAATCTTATAAAATCCCTCTGATCTCACCGTCATACGCATCAGTGTCCAAAAGATTCGAGTCACCTGTCGAAACTGCCAACCTTTACTTTCACCTTCACCCTACGTTGCCGCTGCGTCCAACGAAAAGTGGAACTTTTATTCGCTATCCACGGGCCAGATGCCCGGTTCGGGAAGCAATTTGCCAGAGTTGTGGGAACAAGGGCCCCTTTGCTCATCGAGGGAGATTGCTTAGTCAACTTCACAAGTTCCTCTCTCAACAAATCTGGTTGATCTTGGTTGTTTGACGCCAGTAATCAACAGGATAAAGATTAGTGGTTCTGAACTTGCAGTTCTGAGAGCTACGTCTTTGCTGTTATTTTTCAGAAAACGAACCGAAAGATTAATCAGTTTTAAACATGTATATCCATGGCTTCAACCTAACTGCAGGTGTGTACCGGTGCGCAATGTATCGTGGCAGTTACGTATAAAGGAAGTTTTCTGGGTTGCATAATCGATGTGCCCTTTGGAATTGTTTACTCAGGAAAGGTATGCCCGAGAAATATGTAAATATTATCCAAGCATTATATGCGCGTAGCACGGGCAGAGTAAGGGCTTACAGCAGGCTGTCGCCACCCTTCAATATCTCCAGCGGTGTGAGACAAGGATGCCCGCTGTCACCTTTCCTATTCAACTTCGCTATTGACGAAGTCATGGAGACTGCATTTACAGGACATGACTTGGAAGGTGTGGAGCTACTCCCAGGAGAACGACTCCTTGACTTAGAGTATGCAGACGACATTGCCCTCATCTGTGACAGCTCCCAGACGTGTCAAGCCGCGCTGGACAGATTAGCACTGGCTGTCAGTCGCTTCGGGCTTTGCTTTGCACCACCGAAGTGCAAAGCGTTCCTCCAGGATTGGCAGCGTTCGCCCCCTGTGCTGACCCTTGGTGGGGATCAGCTAGAAGTCGTTCAGAAATTCAATTACCTGGGAAGTTGTATCAGCGCCCTTGGGATCGAAGACGAGATCACGAACCGCATAGCGAAAGCTCGAAGTGCTTTTGCTAACCTTCGCCACCTATGGCGACGGCGCGACATTACTCATGCCCTGAAGGGTAGAGTGTACAATGCAGCGGTACGTTCGACCTTACTGTACGGTTGCGAAACCTGGCCCCTAAGATCGGCGGACATGAAGAGGCTACTTACGTTCGACCATCGGTGCCTTCGCAGTTTGGCTCACATCTGGTGGGAACACCGCGTAAATAACGAGCGTGTTCGACGCCTTGTTTACGGTCTAGGAAAAGGGAATGAACCGCTCAGCACCGTCATTTCACTCACCAGGCTCCGATGGCTGGGCCACGTGTTGCGCATGCCAGCCCACCAACTCCCTCGACGTGCGTTGTTTGCTCACCGGGGATGTGGGTGGAAGAAGAGGAGAGGTGGCCAAGCGATGACTTGGTCCAGAGGAATGAAGGCCCTCACTTCGGAGCTGGCCTCAGTTGGAGCGTCACGGCTCCCTGGTTGGGGTCCAAAAGACGATGAACACGTTTGGCTGGATACACTTGCTGATATGGCAAGGAGTCGACCTCAGTGGCGTTCCTGCTGTGAGTTTCTTTGTCCCTCCCCATCCCTTTAGTCTCCCCCTCCACCTACGATCTTATCTCATAGCGTAAAACATAATAATTTTTTGTTTTTGCCTAGTAGCCGGCTGGTAGCTTACCGGAACGATGCCTATCCGTTGCTGGTAGCTCAGCTGGCATTCAACTGTCGTATTTATTTTTCCTTTATGTATTGTATGTATGTATGTATTTCCTTTATGTATTGGGGTACAATAGCTGAGGTGTTTTACCATCTCTAGCTGACATGTATAATGATGATGATGATGATGATGATGTGGTGTACGACGAGAAAGTATCCCTATGATGAAAGCATCGAAAGTGGCGCCATCACGACTTCGCTTTGAGTTGACAACCTTGAAAGACTTTGAGTCTCTGAGCGAATTGGTTCAAGTTAGGTTCGTTTCGTTGTTTGCGCGTAGCCAAAATGTGGCGTGCGAAAACCTCATTTTGACTTGATATAAAGGCGTGCTGGAGAGTGTAATTGAAATTTGTGATCTCAATATTACATACGAAGAATTATGAGGCTATATACTTCACTAAGAATTCTCGTTTATCGAGGTTGTGTGCTTTAATAGACCCAAACAAGTTACAAAAGTTATGGTACTAGCGAATCGGGTTGTTGTGCATCCGGAGCATCCGGATCAGCGTCGAAAAGTCCTGATTGGAGAAAATGTTCTAAGGAGATAGATTCACAAACGAATAAATGGTAGTAGAACGGGACAGTCAGAGACTGACTGAGAGTGAGGAATTCAGGCCTGCGATTAGAGATGAGACGTAAAAGTACAACGGACAGGATAAGTGTAATGGTAAGGACAAATAGGCAAAGAAGAATGATATCACGACGCCTAACCATTGATTCGTCTGGTATGAGTGGCTCTGAAGACACTTCGAAAGTGCCACCTCGCGTAGCTCAATGGGTCACAGAGGCACGCAAACGACAGCACCACGTGAAGGTCAATTCTCGTCGTGATGAGTAGAGGGATAAAAACCAACATCAGATGTGCACACACGTTAACAGCAGCAACGGTTAACTTCGATGTGCCAGACTGAGTCATTCACGCGGTGATGAGTAATGGCGACAAAATAAGGATTCCTTAAAATTTATTCGGTCCAGCTCAGATGACCGAGTCATGTGTTAGGCGATGGACAAGGGGGTTGACGGTCAGCCTATGTGCCCAAGGAAGACAGTGGTTGTACGTACAAACAAAGATAAAGCAAAACTGACCGATCGTACTCCAACTTGTCCATCGCGTAGTGCGCAGCCAATGCGATATTGTTGAAGACGCAAAAGCCACATGCTTCATCCTCCATGGCGTGGTGACCCGGTGGGCTACACAAAAGGAGAGAACAAAAACGGGCGATGGAAAACGAATTAATGAAGTAAAATAAGTGTAATAACACAGTAAATAGCTTCAGCTTATGGAACGCAGCAAAAGGACTAAAAAACCACGTAGGTAGTGGAAAACAACGTAGAATCCACACGCACAAAAGCAGAACGGTGTTAATTCAAGAAGAAATGTAAAGTGGAAGGAAACCATCTAGTGAAGCACATGGAAACAAAGAGAAAAGCAAGAGAGGGAGATAGTCACGAACGGATGTCAGAGAAGCGACAAATAGAAAAGTTGTTTGTCACTTGGCCGCGCAGAGATAGGGGTTGTCGATGTGAGGTAGTCAGACACATCTTTGAAAAAGTGCAAGCCCTCATACGCATAATTCCTAGTTAGACCACAAACCGAACATCGAAGTAAGATAGAACTAATTGTTATAAAAATAAGCGAGAGAAAAAGTGAGGTGATTACGGACAAAATGTAACGGAAGCGGTAAGAAGAAAAGGCGCAAGAGATTGTTTTCAAGAGGCCAAATGGCTCTGCGATGAAAGTATATTGTAGAAGAAATGAAATGATCGTCAGCTGTACGCCGTAACGTCGTTTCGCTGCCGCGCGACCACCACCAATCGCGCGTGGGCTGAGTATGCCACGAAGAGGCCCGCTCTTACGCGGATTCGAAAAGGTGAACTTATGATTGCAAGCCAGGCCACTGGCCGATTGCAAAAGAGATCAATGCACTGCATGGTCAGTCTGAGGATTTCATCCAGAGAGAGTAATTGCCCTGTCTTTAGTGTATATTGACGAGCCATCGACTCTCCACAGTGAATTTCATTCAATTATGTGCACAGCGGTAAACAGCGCGGCGGGACAGGTGGTGGGGCATGCAAAGGATCTGAACCAGCCACCGTAGGTGATGCGAGCTCGATAATTGAAAGCGAGCTAAAGCATCAGCTGCTAAGGCGAAAACGATGAACCTGAGCACTGGCTAGGATAGACGCTGAGCAGGTATGGATAGTCGAATTCAGTCTGCTTATTAGTAGCTCCAACACTCAGTTAAAACGGTTCAGGTCCACTTATCAGTGATAGATACATCAGAGAGTTGTGTGCCCAGCCGTTGCAGGTAGCCTGATGGCTAGCATTCGTCAAAGATGATTAAAAAAAGATTTAAAAATCACGCAGTCCCGATCTATAAGCGCTGAAATCGTTCCTGAAATTTGATCACCAAAAGTGACAAAACTACCTGGACAGACTAAGTGACTGACGAAATAGAGTGGGCATTCTATGACTGTGAGAACCGGAGGCATCTCGAATGTAAGGAGAACATATGATGAGGCGTACGGTGCTGCACATCAGTTGAACTTGATTCCAATAGAGTTTTATAGTGTGTGTGTGTGTGTATACGGAGAATAATAATAATGGGTTACCTCGTGGAACTGCAGCTCCACAAGAAGACAGGTAGCTCATGCACGACTAGCTCGATCAAAAGTTGAACAGTACAGTAGTACAATGCTAACACACCAAATTTTTCGAATTCTGGTGAAGATTGTAGACGTGCACACGGTTTCAAGGTTTGCAATCGATACAGTCCCCCCTAGGACCACTCCTTGCTGATATTTTCCTCACTATGATTGAGCGTGAAGCTATACGACCCATCATCGCTTCGTTTGATTTCTATTGTCGTTATATGGATGATACGTTTATAATCTGCGGTCCAAACACCGATGTTTCCAACCTGTTAAAGCAGTTAAACAGTGTTCATCCGTCGTTGAAGTTTACTATTGTAACGGAAAGAGATGGTAAGCTAGCCTTCTTGGACATGTTGCTAAGCCGAAGAAACGACGGTTCATTGGAAAGAAGTGTATTCCGGAAGGCCACATGGGTAGGCCAATATACACATTTTCTAAGCTTTGTACCCTTGAGATACAAACATAATCTTGTTCGCTGCTTGTATTTTCGTGCTACGAAAATTTGCAGCCAAGAGAATCTGGAGGCCGGAAAGATCCGTATTCTCAAAACGCTGCAAAATAACGGTTATCCGACACCATTCATCAAAAAGTATGCAGTGATCCGCGATGGCCGTGAAGTGATTACTACTGTCCCTAGGAAGGACGTGTTTCTATCAGTTCCCATTAAAGGCGATGTTGCCTTTGATCTGTTGACCAGAAGAATTTCTAGTGCAGTGGCTCGAACCTTCGGGGCAGCATGCCCACATGTCTTTGCGGAAACAGCTCCCTTTATAGCCCAACGCATTAAAGACAGACTTCCGGTTCAGTCCCAATCTTACATCTTATATCAGTTTACCTGCGCCTGTGGTGTGAGGTACGTGGGACACACAACCAGGTGTCTGTCTAAACGCATTGCGGAGCACTGCCCAGCGGCTTTGCGGAAAGGCATCATCAGTCGCCCCAACAGTTCCATCCTGGAACATCTGGTGGAAAGCCGACACCGAATTAGGACCGCTGATGTCTTCCAAGTACTCTATGTAGTACAACCACGGTACACTAAAGGTCTTAGAAAGCAAATCTTACGGACGGCCGAAGCGATTGCGATTAGAATATTTCAACCGGAATTATGCAAACAGAAGGCTTTGCTGCAAGGGTTTCTTCTACCTTGGCCGTAGTTAGCTCGCCAACTTTTATCACTCCGTGCGCCTACAGTGGTCGGATGATGTGCTTGGCATTCCACCGATCAACTAACACGTGCTCGGTCACATGTGTTGTTAATGGACTTTATTGATCAAGACTTTTGAGTTTCTGTTTGTCGTGATTCCACTATTCCCACCACTTTGGCTTCATCAGCCATTTGCTTTCTGCCTTTCCATTTTATAATCGTAAATGCCTGAGGAGATTTGTCGAAAAGAGTACTCTTCGCAAAATTGTGTTCTTGCATTTACATGGGTATAAGTTACGAATGTCATTTCTGACACCATAGACAGTTCCACAGATAAGCGCGTGAAGAGGTCCTTCAAGTTGAGGTAGAGGACCACGGTGTGCTGAATGCATTATAAGGGTTACCCAGTGATGGACAGTTTATGTATTATAGCAAATGCACTCCCAACTGAACTGGAGTTAAGCTTAACACTGACTCGATGCTCAGCGGGACAAGGGAGCCATTTATCCGGGAAAAGGCAAAAACATAAAGGAAAACCCATTATTGTAGCAATTAATCGATTATCGATCGTGCATTGATTTCGAAGATTCCGGAACCTTCCATTTCTTCACGTCATCGTCAGCATAAGGACTTGTCAGGAAGGCTGCTAATTTTACCAGTTGACCTTCGTTTTCTAGAAGCCGAAGGTCCTTGAGCCCCCCCCCCATATATTTGGCGTAGACCTGGCGTAGTGATACAGCGTTTTGGCGGCGCTTTTGGCTAGGTTTGACAGCGTTTTTATTAACACATTTTCGCAGTCAACTTCGTTGGACTTTTGATTTTTCTTCCGCTGGGCTAGAATTTCTGCGGAGAAAATTTTGGGTATTTAATTCGGAATGGCGAGAAAATGTGAAGATCTAACAATGGCGACAGACAAGTATGAAAACGTTACAAACATTTCCGCCGAACGTTTTCAAAAGCTGCCTCTCCAGCAACAATCACAGATGGAAGCATAAATGAAACTGACTGAAAGTTTGACGCAGTGCTTGAACGTACAGTCAAACGGAGCAGCTACACGGGACACGCAGGCTGTTTCATTTGATCTTCTTACGAATTCACTCAGGGAATTTCATTATGATGCTGATTCCGAATGCACTATTGAGGCGTGGTTCAAACGCTGGAACGACATGTTCCGGACGGAGTTCAGTCGTCAAGCTGATTCATGGAAAGTGCCTCTTTTGCTCAGTGAGCTCGGTACTAATGAACATTCAAGATTTCTTGACCACATTCTGCCCAAAAAGTCGAAGGACATCACTTTCAACGAAGCAGTGGCAACACTTAAAGAAATTTTTGGTAAGTCGTCTTTGTTTAGCATTCGCTACCAATGTCTAAAAATTGTTAAGCGTGATACGGACGATTATGGGGCACTAGCAGACATGGTTAACCGTAAATGTTAACATTTCCAGTTACGCTGTTTGACGGATGACCACTTTAAGTGTCTCATATTTGTCAGTGCTTAACAGTCTCCACGTGACACGGAAATCCGCAATCGGTTCCTTACTAAGTTGGATCAAAATCCAGACTTGACATTGAAATTTCTTGTAGGGGAATGCAAACAGTTGATCACTTTGAAACATGACACCGCTATGATTGAGCAGAGTCGCCCCATCATTGCCGGTACTGTTCATGTTGTGCAAAAAGCAAGAAAGGCAGGTTCGAACAAGCCGCCTGCACCTTGTTGGTTATGTGGTGAATGGCAATTCGCACGATAATATCCATACAAGCGTCACATTTGTGATAAGTGCCATAAACGCCGCCACAAGGAAGACTTTCGTCATCAGTCCCGGCCAAGAAATGTGAAGCAGTCCTACCGAAGGAAGAACTTCAGGAAGCATGACACAGAATCACTATCGGTGATTGCCACTTCTCACAGCGATTCTAGAACACGCCGCCGATTTATCACTGTGCTCATCAACGGAATCCCAACCAGACTGCAGTTCGATACGGTATCAGTGATAACGATCATTTCCAAGAACACTTGGAAACACATAAACAGGCCGAAGATGGTTGATTCCAACAAAGTCGCCCACAACGCATCCGGTGGAGTGCTGAAGCTTGTCAGAGAAATAACTTGCAAAATTGCATTCAACGGAGTGGAACAGGCCGGAACCTGCTACTTGTCTGACCGAGAAAACTTGAAGTTCCTTGGGATTGACTGGATGGAAAAGTTACAACTGTTTGATGTTCCAATGAGTCAGATTTGCAATAGAGACCAAACCGATCCAGTCCATGCATCATTGTCGATAGAAGACATGACGGAAAAGCTAAAGCAGAAGTTTGCCCCATTGTTTGAAGATGGTTTCGGTCACTGCACTAAGTTCAGAGCAAAGTTGTGTCTTCGCGAAGGAACCAA